TAAATAAATAAAATCTTTAAAAAAAAAATGGTTATTCTCCTTATATGTAAAAAGCACTGACAGACCTGTAAGAAAAAACCACGAACAACCCAAATGAAAAATGGATGAAGGATATGAATTGACAATTACCCAAAGATGAAAAAAAAAAAAAACCCAGCCAATATACATATAACAATAATCAACCTAATTAGTAATCAAAGGAATATACCTAAAATAGGACACCTTTATTCAAATCCAACTGGCAAAAATGAAACATGTATAATACCTTGGATTAGCATGGGCATGTGAAACAAGAATATACTTATAATGCTGCTGGAAGCATAACTGGGTTCCAGCTTTCTGAGGGATAATTTACAAACATGTATGCATATCTTAAGAATACCCATACTCTTTGTGCCTCAGGAATTCCTATGGAAATTTACCCTAAGAAAATAATAAAACATGGGCATAAAGACTTTTATGAGGAATGTTCAATGAAGGATTATTTATAATGTTGAACCCTTGAAAATAGATTAAATATAGAATGAGGGTACTGGTTAAATGGATTATATACATACAGGCATTCACCATCATGTTTGAAAAGAGTATTTGATGGGGTGGGGAAGTGCCTACATATATTACTTGAAAAACACAGATTATGTGAAATTTCATTTTCATTTTATTAACGCCCCCCCATAATATATGTACAGATCAAAGACTGGCAGGCTATATACCAAAACATTGCCAGTGTTTATCTCTAGGGAATGAGTACAAGTAATTTTTGCTTTCTTCTCTATTCCTTTTTATTTTATGGAATTTCTGAGAATAAAGTGGCAATATTTTGATAATCTGAGAAAAACAACAAATGTATGGCAATGTTTGGTAAAATTTCTGAAGGGACTCAATGCAGCTCTGGCAGCCCCCGGGGCATCACTCCTGGGAGCCTACACCAGATGCAGTTTCCTTCTAGCCTGAGGATTCTACACATGCATGTTCATACACTCAAGTACGTATGCACACGTTAAGACCCATGTGCATTGCCTCTGACCTCATACTCAAATCCACGGTTTTGTACCGTCATATACGTGCATGTGTCCTCACCCCCAGCACTCACTCCTAGAGCTCTTCCGTAAGTGAATTTGTAATGCAGTTGTTTGGAATTTGGAATATATTTGTGCAAAGCGATAGTATCACACAGTCGCATGTGGTGGTCAGCTCCCTGGGTCCCTCACTGAGGCAGTCCCTACCCCACAAGGTGGCTGGCCCCTGGTGGGACACTGTCCCATGGGGACTCTCCCCAGGAGGGAGAACATGGCCTGGGGTCTCCAGCAGGGGCCGGGCACCAGGAGCTCTGTTCTGGGGCCCGGGAGAGAGGTCCCCAGCCAGCTGACTGGGGGCTCCTAAGCCTGAGTTAATGAGGATGCAGCGCTCCTTTGAAAGGCTTCATTGGCAGAGGAGGAGATGACTGCACAAAGCCAAGCTCGGGAATGAGTACCCTCTCCCATCAATTTACCAAGGGAAACTTGCCCAGTGTCTAAGGCTTTACAATTGCCAGGCTGCTGGTAATTCATTCATCAAACATGTATTTAGTGACAGTGATGTTTCAGGCACAGTGTTGGGCAGCTGGGGACCCAGAGATGAAAAGATGCTGCCCCTGTCCTCGAGGGGCCCTACGGACCAGTGCAGGAGACAGAGAAGTGAATAGCTAGTTGCCATCTGATGCAGTCAGCGTATGACAGAGGATGAAGGGCATGCCACGGCAGGGGTCAGCCTAGGCGGAGGTGTGAGCTGTGAAAAGGCACAGCAGGTGTCCAGAATGGTGGGGAACTTAGAATGCACGTGTGTGTGTGCACATGCGCAGGATCGGGGGACAGGGGAAAGGGGCAGACAGCATGGCTAAAACGCTGATTGGAAAACTGGCACAACCACCCAATGATGGCAGCGCATTCTCATGTGCAGACCCCATGGCTCGGTGGTTCCTCTCATGGGTACACACTCAACAAGCACGCATGCACGCGAGCACCAGGAGACACGTGCGGAGACGCACACAGCAGCACCGTATGTAACAGCTCCAAGCTGAAATCCACCCAAATGCCTATCCATCCATGGGCAACAAACTGGATAAAACAATTCTATATACACACGCGGCTGAAACCCGTACAGAAATGACAGTGAATGATCTATAACCACGCACAACAGTAGGGATGAAATCCACAAATTCAAAACAATGTTGAGTAAGAGAAGCCAGATAAACGGTACGACTTCGCTTATATAACCTGTGAAAAGAGGCGACACTACTCTGAAGTCAGGATGGTTGTCATCCTGGCTGGGGAGGGGTAGGGTGGTGACCGGAAGAAGCACGAGGAGGTCCTCTGGGGGGTTGTAATGTTGTGTTCCCTGCTCTGGGTCTGCTTGCCCCGGGTGCTGTGAAAATTCACGGAGCTGTATGCTCACTTCTCTGCATAGTGTCTGTGAGGATGGAGGGGAGGACACAGAGTCCCTGAAAAGATATTTCTGGGCTTTCCCTCGGGTGATAGAACTCTGGCCTCCCTGGCACGGTGCCGGGCCACCTACGGCTCAGAGGGTAATTCAGAAAGACCACAGGAAAGCCGAGTGGAGGAGGACATGGCACAGTTACCGAGCAATTTCAGGGCAGCGTTCCCGGCCGCCAGGAGCTCATCTGCGGATGCTCGGGCTGCCGCCCATCACGAGCTCCTTGTGGAGGGGGAAGCTGGCCTCCTCCTGCTCCTTGCTCCCCGCCTGAGATGTCCTGAGCACATCTCTGGGATAGTACTCCCAGGCCCCCCTCCGGGTGTGCCCTTCCACCTCCCCACTGGACTGGACACCCCCCTGAGGACAGGTGCACCTGCTCGCGTAGCTAGCACAGATGTGCTCCAGGGTAGTAACCCAGCAGAACTCGGTGGTTGAGTGGCTGGAGATCAGGAAAGGCAGAGGGAAGGATGCAGACTGTGGGCCATGGGTGCATAGACTGCACCCACCCTCATCCTCTCTTCCCTCTCCGTGGGGCCCCTCTGAGCACCCAGTGGAGGGGCAGGGGCCAGCTGCCTGCACTGAACTCCCAGGTTTGGGCAGATATTGCAGTCTGAGTCTTCTCCCCAACAGTGAGGCCCAGCTCTGGCCCAGAGAGAGAGATGCTCTTGCCTCCCCTCAGCTGTCTGCCATCTTTTCTCCTCCCTTTAGCAGGCTCCATGCTGAGGAGGCCACTCAGGGCAGAGCTCCAGCAGCCGTCCAAGCCCAGACCATTCATGCTGGAGAGTGGTTCATGTCCAGAGGCCATGGACCAGGCAGGCCCCAGTCAACAGCTCTGGGGCCCGCTAGGAGCTTCCTTGGTCAGCCAGACCAGAAGAGTCGAGGCCTTGGTCTCCCTTTCACATCTGTTTAGTTGTGACCCCTGACTCAAAGAAGCCTCCAGGGCTTGTAACAACCTTGCAGCCCCTGGAACAGAGGACTGACCCGAGATGGACACTGGGTAAGGCTTCAGCTACTCTTGGGTGACCAGTGTCCATTCTTATCCATCAATTCAGGTAGAAACACAGATGTAAGTAGCCTGCGGGTTTGGCCTGGATGCCCACTGATCTTCAGAGAACTTTTCCCTTTCTCCTGTCCCCCTCCTCATTCAACCCTGGGCCTACTTACCGGCTGGCCAGACCCAGGGCTGGAGCAGAAGATGGTGTACTTGCGGATCACCCCATTGGGCTTGGCTGGGGGGAGCCAAGACACGACCACACTGCTGGCGGAGGAAGGGACAGCTTTGATGCCAGCAGGGGGACCTGGAACTGAATAGGGAGAAGGCCAGGTCAGTTTAGAGAAAGGAGCTCCACCTTTGGGAAAGAATGCAAGGGGGGGAAGAGAGGCGGATCAATCTTGGAGAGCTTCCTGGAGGAGGTATCCTTGAGTTATGGCTTAAAGGGGGAGGTTCCAGCAGGTGAGGAGAAGGGTGATCATTTGGGGCTTGTAACAAAATCTCTGAGATGGAAGCACTGGGAATGGTCAGCTTCAGAACTGTTTGGTCAGAACCAAGGACTTAGGATACTCCAGAGAGAAACAGAACCCATGTGGAATTCACCTTGATTTCTACAACCTTAATGTGCTTCCTGCCTCAATGCTCGACTGGTTGCTTGTATATGGGCCAGGCAAATATACTGGTCACTTTGCTCTTTGGCCTGTGAGCTCTTTGAGGCGGGGGGCTCCAGAGACTCACAGAGTGGGCCTCCTCCTAAGGGTCAGGAGCTGGTGGTCAGCCAACGGCCTGCTGGCTAGGCCCTTTCGGTTTGCAGGAGGGAAAGTCTATCTGAGAATTGGCTGGGAAATTCATCCTAAGGGGATCCCAATTCATATGGATTCTGCCCTCCCACTGCCCCCATCTCTTTGGGCCTGCCTGGCCCAGCTGGGATGCCGGGGCTCTGCTTGGGAGACTGGAAGCTTCCTGTTTTCAGGTCCCCTCATCTCTCCCTTGTATTGTCGTGTACTTGGCTTCCCTCCTGGGAGCTTTATGTTCCTTTGAGGACAGTCATGGCATCCTGCTCAACTTACTTTGCCTCCCGAGCCTCCGTTTCCACGTCTATATGATGGACGTAATCACAACCACATTAATGGTTTGTAGTGACGGTTAGCACTAATTAACATAAAAGCACCTGGCACCTCCTGACCTGTAGAAGACACTCAATAAATGGGGACGATGATCATTTTTTTGCATTCCCTCTCTCAACTCTTAGCTTCTACCTATCACAATTTTTTAAAAAAAATCTAGTAAGTGGTCAACAATTCTAGGCTACATAAAATAATGATCCATCATCACCATCCATCCAGGGGCCCGAGCCCTCCCTCATGGATACAGCCCCGTCATCCCACCCCTGCTAGTACTCTGCAGCTGTGGAGTGCAGGGGACCATGGGGGGACCACTGGGGCAGGTGTGCTAACTGTGGTGTTCAGATTTTTTCTGTCCTTGCATACTTTTTTTTCTCAGTTGCAACTGAGAGGGGTATGTTGAAATCTCTCCCAGGATTGTGGGTTTGTCTATTTTTGCAGTCTTGAGGTGATGTTATTAGGTTCAACAAATTCGGAACTGTTTTATTTGGCTAGTAAATTGGGTCTTCTATCGTAACAGTGTCCTTCTGTATGTCTAATGATGCTTTCTGCCTTAGAGCATACTGCATCTGATGCTGATATTCCAGTTTTCTCTCGGTTTTGCGTGGTATGTCTTTTATGTATTCCTTTCACGTTGCACCTTTCCATACCTTTATGTTTTAGGTGTTTAGTATAAACAGCACATATTTGGGTTTTGTTTCATTGCTAGCTAGTCTGACAGTCTTTGTCTTTTCATTGAATAATTTAGTCAATTTATCCTTAATGCAATTACTTATGTATTTGAGCTTAAATACCTCACCTTACTAAATACTTTTTTTGTCCCACCTATCCTGTTTTTCTTTTTATTTCCTTTTGTGCCTTTTTTTGGATTGAGTACTTTAAAAAAATACTTTATTTCCCCTCTCTATTAGCTGGTTATTAGACAGCCTTTCACCACTTTTGGGGGTTATTCAATGTGAATCTTTTACTTACCAAAGTCTAACATCATTAATTGGTACTTTTTTTTTCTCTGACAATGCAAGGGACTTAGAACTTCCATTTACCCTCTCCCAATTTATATGCCATTGTTGTATATTTTAATTATGTATGTATTTTAGGCTCTCCCTGAGATAATATCACTATAATATCACATCATTTTATGCAGTCAATATTAATGGAGATTTACCCATATATTCCCCATTTAATTGCTCTTTCCTCCTTGCATCACTGAGCTCCTACCTGGGATCATTTTCCTTCTAGCTAAAGAATACCCTTTAATATTTCTCTAAAGCAGGCACGTTGGTGGTAAAGTCTCTCAGTTCTTGTTTGTCTGAAAATATCTTTATTTCATTTTAATCTTGGAGAATATTTTGGCTTGGTATAAAATCATAGGTTGATAACTATTTCTCTTACATACTTTATACCACTGCATTGTTTTCTGGCTTCCATTGTTTGTTTGTTTTCATTGTTTCTGACAAATTAGCCACTGATCTAATTGTTGGTCCCATGAAAGTAACTGGTCTTTTTCCTTCTGGCTGCTTTTAAGAATTTTCTTCTGTGTTTCCTGTTTAGTGGCTTTATTTGGATGAGCCTAGGTGTGGACTTCCTTAAGTCATCACCTGCGGAGTTTGTAGAGCTTCTTGCTTTGGGGATTGAGGTCTTTCCTCAGTTTTGAAAAGTTTTCAGGCATTTTATCTTCTGCCCCATTCTCTTTCTCCTCTTCTTTGAGACTTCTTCTCACATCCTCTATGTCCTTGATATTCAGAATGTGGTCCATTGGTCGGCAGCAGCGTCACCTGGGAGCATGTTAGAAATGCAAAATCTCAGGTTCCACCCTAGACCTACCAAATCAGAATCTGAATTTTAACATGACCCCCAAGTGATTTGTATGCACAGTCAAGTTTGAAAATCACTGTTCTATATCTGCTACTTGCTCTTTCATTTTCCATTCATTTTTCTTTCTGAGCTTCTTTTGGGTCTTCTCACCTAACTTCCAGTTCACTAGTTATCTCTTCAGCTGTATCTAAGTGGTTATTAAATCTATCTCTTGAGTTCTTAACTTCAGGTAGTAATAGTTTTTGTTTCTAGATTTCCATTTGATAGTCTCCAATTCTCTTAAAATTTCAATCTTTTTCAGAATAACTATTTGAATGTTCATATTTGATAAAACCTGTGTTTGGAATTCTTGTGGGTCTGTTTCTGTTTCTTTCTCTCTCTTTTTTTTTTTCCCTATTGGCTTTTGTTCACGGTGTTCCTCATTATTTTTTATTGTATGCCAGACACATCATTTGCAAACTTGTTTGTAGAAATAATTTGAGGCCTCAGATGACGTAATCTTCCTAAAGGGAGAATTCACGTTTGCTTCTGGCAGGTATCTGCAATCTGGGGTGCTAGCAATCCGGGACTACCTCAATCTAACTTCTAGGACTGAGATGATTTGAAGCTGAGATGTCTACTTTGGGTGCACTTTTAATCCAACATGCTGCCCTCATGGTCTCAACTCAAAGTGAGGGGGATTCACCAGATAGACCCGCCCACCCCAGCAGGCCCTGGACTCCAATTCACGTCTTTCTAGTGCTTCTCAGATTCTCAGCCACTGCCTCCAGATTCGGCAAATGTCCCCCCGCCATGGGGAGAGCTGTTCCAAATGCCAGGCTCACCTCCTGGGCCTCCACTCTCTCCTGGATCCTGGCCCAGTAATTCTGCACTCTCCTGCCAGCTCACCGATGCCTTCAAGCAAGTGTTTTAAAAAATACTTTATCCAGATTTCCTAGTGTCCTCAGCAAGAAGGAGAGTGGGCTTGAGTTATGTAGTCCATTACTGGAAGGGCAAATCTTCTGATATGTTTCTCTAAGCTTGGGCCCACTCCTCCCTTCATCCTCACAGCTGCCACCCTAGCACACACCTTCCACTTCTCTGCCTGGATGCCCCACAGGTTCTAAGGGGCCTCTCTGACACTGGTCCTTAACCCCCCACAGCCCCTTCCTGCCATCTGTCCCCTCGCTTCTGTGAGAGTTGCCTTCCTAAAACCCAGGTCCAGTCCAGCCTCGCCCCTCAGTTAAATATCTTTAAGATGGCTTAAAATCCAACTCAACTTTCCCTGGGGAGGTGAGACGTCAGCAAGAGGCTTTGTTACTCAGGAACCAAGTCCAGCCAAGCCAGCCTGAGACCAAGTTAAGACTGGGGGATTTGGACTTCAGAAATGAGCTTGAATTTATTGAGTTTGTTTTCATTTTATCTTTTAATCTATTTTGGTTTTCTCTACATTTCCTGATCTTTTTTTTTTCCTTTGGAAGAATGCAAAATCCTGAGCTGGGGCAGGGGGTGAGGGGGCGGGTAGGGAGTCACAGTGTCTTCAGCTCTTCGTTCCAAGCTCCCACAGCCAAGCTGGGCTTGCAGTGTGGACCTGTCTGCTTCCCGAGCGAGCTGAGAAAGAATGATAATGGGAGAACCTGGTGGAGGTAGGGCCAATGCTGGTGTGGCATCTGCTTGTCTGTCTGCCCATTTGCCTCTGTTCTTTCCTGTTCCTTGCAAACCGAGCCTCCCTCTTGCTCAGGGACCCATGCCCCTCTGTCCCTCAGAGAAAGCTGTCCCCATCACTGACAACCAGGGTGTTTACCACCCCTCAGGGAAGTCAGCCGCGATCATCCCATTCCCCTTTCAGTGACTGGCTTAGCAAAAGGCACGTTGCCTCAGGGTGGCCAATGGGAAATGAGGGTAAATCTGTTGAAGGGCTTCTGGGAAAGATGTTTTCCACTCCCAAGAGAGGCATGCCCACAGGAAGAGACCCCTTCTCTCACTCTGAACTCTGTCTTGTCTGGTGTGATGTCTAAAGCTGCGGTCATTTGGAGATCACGGGAGGGACACCTGACACGCTGAGGAGGGCAGAGCAGAAGGATGGGGCCCACTGGGTTAAGCAACCTTGGAGCTGCCCTCCTCAAGACTCCTTGGTATGTGTGATAATAAATACACTTACTAGTTAAATCTTTTTTTAGTTGTATTACTCACAACCAAAAGCTTCCTGTCTGCTATAGGGATGCAATGGAAAGTAGAGAAGATTTGGAGGCAAGAAGGCCTTGATTCGCCTCCTACAATGAGCTGCATGACCTTTAGCAAGTTGCTTTAGCTCACTAGGCCTCACTTTTCTCACCTTTAAAATGGACATGATAGGTACCTCACTGGGCTCTTGGAAAGGCTCGGTCATGCTTATGACTACACATACTATGTCTAGTGTGGCTGCAGTTCTGGAAGCGACCTCATCTGACAGTGGCTTCCTTCTGGCCTAGGCCTCCCTTTTGGGGGGCACTGAGTCCCTCAGGGGTGCCTGGGTTCACCCAAAGTGGTCATTTCATGGCCAGCACCTTGGTAGCTAGTAGGACCCTGCCATTTGCTAGCACTGCACATTTTAGGAAGGATTTTACAATTAACTTGCTTCTTACAACAACTTGATGAGCCTCTCTGTCCCCATTTTATCACGAGGAAACAGGCTCAGGAAGGTTAAGCGACTGGCCAGTAACGGGCAGGGCTGGGCCATGCTCTTCTGCTGTGCCTACCAGCACCCCTTCGCTCCGCAGAGCCACCTGTGGGGCCCCATTCTCTGGCTGCGCGCATCCCTGTGCGTAGCTCTGGAGGCATCTCTAAAGCGAGAGGTGGAAAGCTCCTTGCGGGGAGGGATGATGCTCTTGGACCTTCGGATTCCCTCGGATTCCCTCGTGGGGCCCCACCTTTGTCAAACACGTCGGGGAGCTTATCGCTCAGATCCTGCATCAGCACAGGATGCTAGGCGTCGGGGCGGGGTGGGGGAGCAGTGGTTCCCATCTAGAGGCTGGGAAGGTGCCTTGTGTGTGGTTCGGAAGCTCTGGAAGGGGCCAGGCTCTGAGCATGGTCGCCGCTTGGTCTGCACACACACGAGCAGGTGGCTCTGCCCGGAGCTGTCCTAGGAAACCTTGATGGGGGGATTAATGGCAGGAAAAGTAGGGCAGGCAGGTTGGTAAATATTTAATTGCTCGGAGCTTAAGGCGGGGAAGGGGGCCGATCAGTGGAAGGGCAGGGCTTAGGGAGAGTGGGGAGCTGGATTAAACCGGTCTGTTCCCTGGGCACTGGGCTGCTCTGGGAAACTCCCAGCCTGAGACCCTCCTCTCAGCAACTCTAACCCTCCAGCAGCTTCTGCCCAGTCGCACAGGAGGGACCCAGACCCTGGGAACTTGGAGAAAACCGAGGCAGCGAGGAGAGGAAGGCATGATGTTAGCTGCTGTTTTGGTGCCCAGGCTGCCAGCCACTCTTCTTCACATGAACCGACTCTTAAAAATAGAGCACCTGCCTCAGAAGGTGTAAGCATCAGCTAAGTGATGGTGTTGTGATGGGGTGAGGAAGAAAGTGGAGGCTGGAAGCAGGAGCCCAGAACTGCGCATGGTCACACACACCACCTCCTGGACGCAGGGGGTGCTTCATATGAACGAGGCCCCCTGGCGGTGTGCAGCGCTGCGTCTCCCAACCTCTTCTCTGCTGGGTTGACTCAGCTCCCAACCTCCCCCACCTCCTTCCTCTGTCACCCCACCCTGGAGGTTTGGCTCCTTATCTCTGCTTTTCCTCCAGTTCTGCCCCAGGGGGAAGGGCTTTAAGATCAGAGCTCCGAATGGAGGCACAGCCCATTCTCTCCCCGAGAGCCTCCCCAGGACACCAGAGTCCAGGGCCTGGCCCATTCTGGGGCCTCTGCAGGATGGCTGCCAAGTCCCTAACCCGAGCTGTGAGGAGTGATGCTCCTCTCCCCATCCCTGCCAATCCCAACCATCTGTATCCAGAGGAAACCAGGCAGAAACTTGCAGGGGAATGGATGCCACAGAAAGGATGCTCTTGGGGTGGAGGTGGGAAGGGAGGCTTTATCTGGCCTCTGACCTAGTGCCGCAGGGGGAGCCGAGGGAGTGGGCTCCGTATGCTTATATGTTTATGCGGGAGTCCCAGAGCATCTCGCCCCCGCCTACGGTCAGCTGTGGTCTCCCCACGCGGGGTCCCAGAGCGCCCAAAACCGCCCTACAATGACTCAAAGGGACAGGAGACAGGACGGTGCACTGCTGTCACCCTTCTCCTTGGGCAATGTTAGCAACAGGCCCTGGGGGAGCCTGGCAGGGGTGCCGAGGCCGGGCTGCGCGTGGCAGAGAGGACTCACCATCCTCCTTGGTCTGGATGTAGAGCACGCTGCTGCGCACGCCGTCCCCGGCTTGGGTGTAGGCCAGCACCTGCACGCTGTAGTTGGTGAACTTCTCCATACCTCGCAGCTCCACCCGCTCCCGCGTGGTGGTGATGTTCTGCATCTCGCCCCACTCTGCCAGAGACAAGCAGCCTCTGAGTGTCACCAGGTGGGCTGTGCCCGGTCCCCCTGCCGCTGTCCCCTCTGCCAGCCTGGGCGCCACTGGGCTCAGACCTCCACTCTGTGGTAGTGGCGACTAGGGGGGCCTGACCTCCGGGTTCATGGGGGCAGATCTGGGGCCCTGCTCCCGGGCCACATCTCCCCCCAAGTGGCCCAACCAGGGTGAGCGGCCTATGCCCAGCCTTGGCCCCAGTGACCTTGCACCAAATTCAACTTAATACCCTCTCATTGGAATACTTCCATCTTTCCGAGCACATTTCCCCTCCTCCACCGAACCCCCTCTCCATGCGAGGGACCCCAAGCGTGCCTTACTCTCAGTACTGTAAGGGGCTAAGTCTCCTTCCCTTCTCCCCACCACTGAGGACACCCTCCCCAGGAAGAACCCATGCAGAGAATCTGGGACATGCTGGTAGAGGGGACAGCCTCCGCCAGAAAGGGCCAGGCCTTCCTCCGGCTCAGTGAGGACCCGTCATCTGGCTCCGCCAAGGGACTTACTGTAGGCTGAAAAAGAGCTTAGGGAGGGGGTCCCCCTGGAAGGCCAGGGTCTTAGAAGGAGGAAAAGAGACAGGCTCCTGAGCTGACAGCCGTCCAGTGGGACCACTGGGCTTTCAGAAAGACAGGCCTGGACACTGGCTGAGGACAGGCTTTGGGGAAGCCTACAGACCCACCCCAGCACCTCCCTGGGGCCCTGCTGTGGGCAGAGGGCCCGGCCACAGGAGGGCAGCGGTATGCCGGGGTCAGGGAGTGAGAACACCATGCCCAGCCAGAGGCAACCCCAGGTCAGTACAGGGAAGCCTCAGAAACCTGAGCAGCTGGACCTGCTTTTTTAGGAAATCAGACACCAGGTAGTCTTGTCCAGGACTGGAGCCAGAGAAAGACCCAAAAGCAGGTCAGTATGGCCAACAGGCCAGGTGCCTTTGGAGATGAGAGAGGCCAATACCTTCCTTACCTGAAGGGGCTGAGCTAGGAACACCGCGGGCTTAGAAAAGAGGAAGCAAGTTCTGGAAAACGAGGGACCACCCCTTATCTGACGCAGCACAAATAGGTGATGCTATCTCACAGCATATGAACTGGGGACACCTCCCGGGATCCCACCCTTGAGCCCCAGGCCACCGTGCTTTTGGAGGAGACAGTGGCGGTGGTGGCAGGGAAAAGCACGTCCTGTTGGCAGTGCACCTGCGCACAGCACAATGCGGGGGGGGGGGGGAAGGGGAGGGCAACTGCCTTGCAGAAATGACCATGAGCTGGAGCTCCGGATCCTCCAGGGGAGAAGGGAGGGCGAGGGGGCTGGTGGCAGAAAGCTCAGGATCCCGGGAGCTAAGCTCAATGTGGCCTGTTGTGGCCCCCCAGTAGGACATCTCCATGCTTTGGGATGCTGGGCCTCTGGCTTGTACAAGCGCAGACTTCCCCGGTCACCGCAAGGCTCCCGTGTGCCCCAGCAGGCAGGGGCTTGGTGTGTTTGTGGGGCTGCACACGGCGGTTTGGACCAGTGCATCCCAGGGCAAGGAAGGCACCCCCGGGGCTGGACCACTGTCTTGGGTTTTGTCCCTCTGCCATTCCTACCCCAGCTCCACTTCCTGCTCTTCTCCGGGTCCTGGGCAGCTCATCTGCACAGACTACTTGTCTCGCTGCCCGGCCAAGGGGCACTGCACCCCCCTCCCCCCCAGCTTCTGGTAACCCTGCTTCCTCCTTTTGCCCCTTCTGGCCTCGGTGATGATGACTAGTCCCAGGTGCCCCACGCTCGCCCCAGACCCCTCTGAAAGAAGTGCCTTCGTGAAACTCTTCAATCGGCCCGTCTGAGTGTGCCAACTGGTCCCTGCTGGGACCCTGCCTAAGATCCACACATTACATCAGAAAAGCACAGCCACCCCATCACACCTCCAGTCATTCCCAAACACACTGCCGTCTAGGAGCAGCTGGTGTCCCTCCCCCAGCACAGAGGTGACCATGTATTCTGCCACCCACACTGGCCCCGGCTCTGGCCGGGATAGCATGTGCAGAAGAGGGGGTTGGACCTCCACTTGACATCCCAGGGGAAGATGCTCAGCTCAGCGTGGACACAGACCCCCATGTAGCCTGCGCCTCTCCCCCCGAGACTGGCCGTCACTCCTGGCAGACTCACCCCCATCCACATAGAGTGACCAGAAGATGACCCGATAGCCTTTGAGGACTCCATTGAGCGTGCTGCGTGGGGGCTCCGACCAGGAGATGACAGCCACATCGGAGGTGATGGACAGGGCCCGGACATTCTCGGGGGGCTGGCTGGGCACTGCAGGGGGCGGGGTGAGAAGGGAAGGGCCCGGTCAGGGGGTACAGGCCGACATCCGTGGATGCTGAGGGCACAAGGTGATGAACTCCAGGCATGACCCCATGGGGATCCACCAGTGGGCACCACAGCCCAGGGAGTCCACCTACGCTGAAGGTTACAGAGCCTGGAAGGTCTCCAGGCCAGCCCTGGGTCTTATCTGATGGCTGCTGGCCCCTATGTGGCATCCGACCAGGTGGTCTGAGCCCAGCCTGGCTCTCGGGCCCCTTGTGTCCTTATGCCAAGCTGAAGGGAAGGAAAAGAAGGAAGTGGTCCCTTCACCTGGGTAAAGGGGAGAAGGGGTTTCATATACACCTTTAGGGTTTCTGGGACCATTACACCTTTGTCCCTGCACATGAACACATCAAAATGCCTCAGATGATGAGAAAACACTTCTGAGACCAACTTAGATGGCCCATCCTGCCTCCAACCCTTCCCACTGGAGAGCTACCGTGGAGCTAACCTAAGTCCTACACCCCAGGGTTGGCCCTGGGGCAGGTCACTCTTTCTGAGATGGCAGCCGGCAGGGCGGCCAGGCTCCAGGAGCCACCTTGGTTGGGGAGAGCTTTGGTGGCACTTCCTGCTGGCTTCCTAGGAGCTGGGGCCAAAGGGAAAGGCCATGTCTGCTTTGCTCTGAGAGGGAGAAAGGAGGCACAGGCTGGATGGAAGGTAATTAGATCCCATTGCCCCACAAGAGGCAACTCTAATTTTTATGAGCATTTAAACGATAATACATCATCCTAACAATCCTCTTTGAGAATGATTATTGTTTCATATTACTTAGGTGTAAAAATATAAGCACCATGTAATTAGGGACCCAGTGTAATAAACTAATACAGATCGCCCGTTCGAACAAAATGAAGGTAATATAATTATGGAAAAGACACTATTGCTAAAGCAGGGGCCCTTGAATACCCCAGGAGGAGTGCTAATATTGCCAGGAAACGATCAGGATCTGACAGGCTAACGAGGGCCTTAATTAAGTATGAAAAACTGCTGAGCAAATGCTGCTGGAAACTTCTTCCCTCTCTCCTCTTTTGTTTTGAAAATGACTCTACAGCCCGTGCTGATCTCTCCCTGTTGGAAATTCTAGGTCCCCCACCCCCGGAGCCGGGGAGGTGGTGCCCTGCTGGAGGCCTGGCCTGGCTGTTTCCTGGGCCGGCCCTGGTGGACGGCAGAAAGTATGTGGCCAGCCATGGCGGTGTGGGCCCGGGGCAGCTGTCCCCTTGGACACGCCTTCCCCGGGCATCCTGGGTCCGCGTCACTTGGTCCTGCATCCAGCCTTGCTCCCAAGCGAGAGACGATGGGGCGAAGGAGAAAGAGTATGGGATTCAGGGTCTGACCTGGATTTTGAGCCCAGGCTCTGTTCTTTAGGTGACAGGTGATCCTGGACAGGCTACTTAGCTTCCTTGAAACTGGGCTTCTTTTATGGGTTGATGCCCTAGCTGTTGGCGCTGTGGATCTCACAGGCAGGTGCCCCCTGTGCCAGGAGCACCAGCAGCACCCGGGAATTTCTCTGAAATGTAAAATTAGTTCAACGGGCTAAAGCAGGAGCTGAGAGGAGGTGGGGGGAGGGCCCAGCAATCTGTTTACAGCCCTCCAGAAGGTTCTGATACACACTCAGGTTTGAGAACCACTGGGTTAGAGCACCACTTGGGATGAGTACTACTGGTGTGAAGAGGTAACAGGTGGATCCCCTCCCCCCAGCCAGGCCTGTGGCCAGCATCGCGGAGGGCTGGAGTCGGTGTGGAATGACGGAGGGGGAGGGGCACTGGTTGTCTTCTGGTCCCTCACATCCCTCCCCCGGGGGTTCTCTGTGCCCCTCTGCTTGCTATGTGCCTTTCCCTCTTTCTGTGTTCTCCCATTCCCCAGGGACTCAGTGCTTCATCCCAAAGCCCAGCTTGGGCCCTGGAGCCACTGAATGAGAATCCTGGGAGATGAAGCCGGGGCATCGGTATTTTTTTAAAGCGCCCCAGATAATTCCAATTTGCAGCCAAAGTTAAGGACCACTGGTATGAGCTAATCTACTTCCAGGTGTTTCTGATCTGATGTATCCTTCCTCCCAAGGGTGTCTACGTTTTCAGAGATGAACTACGGAGAAGGCATTGCTTAACCTAAATTCCAGAATGACTCCCCCCACCCCCCACCTCCCCCAACTCAGGACTTTAACTCACAACCCTGAGATCAAGACCTGAGCTGAGATCAAGAGTTGGTTGCTTACACCTGGGTGGCTCAGTCAGTTAAGCATCTGCCTTTGGCTCAGCTCATGATCCCGGGGACCAGGGATCAAGTCCCGCATCAGGCTCCTTGCTCAGCGGGGAGCCTGCTTCTCCCTCTGCCTGCCGCTCCCCCTGCTCGTGCTCGCTTGCTCTCTCTCTCCCTGACAAATAAATAAGTAAAATCTTAAAAAAAAAAAAAAAAGTTGGACACTTAACCTACTGAGCCACCCAGGCGCCCCAAGGAATGACTTTCTAATGGTGGAATGCTGGGTATTCTGTTGGCATTATGCCCTTGGGATGGTGAGTCCCTTCCCTCTGCTGGGGCAGGGTCAGACCCAGCAACGGTTTTCATCTCAGACTCTGGTTTTGGGTTAGGGCTTCAGGAAAGAAGCTTAGGAGAACGCTCTGCTTCTTTTGTCTGCTCTTTGGGGGCTGCAGGCCTCAAGGGCCACATCTCCTCTTTCAACCCAGCAAGGCTCAGGCACAGCTGGCCCTTCTCTGTGCTTGGAGAGCAGCCACACCCCTGCTTCCTCCTAACCCTGTCCTCCTGAAAACTGGGCCCTGTCATTTACTCATCAGAGTGTGGCGTCCTCTCTAGTCCTCAAAGAATCACGTTTTAAGCAGTGGGCTCTAAAGCATCCGCCACATGGATCTTGGAATTTCTTAGCCCCTGTCTCATCTCCGGCCCTCAAATAGGTAGTGGACAGGTTCCAGCCCAGAAGTACAAAGGTAACTTGGGTTCTGCCCCTTTTCCGACCTGCAGGTTGTGAGGGAGGAGAAATAGGACCAGGGTGTAGAGGAAAAGGGCCTGGGGAGAGAGAGGAGTGAGGGCCAGAATGAGGGAGCAACACGGCTGAAGAGTCAGGTGGGTGACAGGCGGGGCTCAGATGGGCAGAGCATCAGCCAGCAATGGATAGAGTGTTGGCCAGTGGATTGAGAGGCCTGGGGGTGCTCGAGGGACCAGCATCTCTTGGGGAGCCAGTGGGCAAGAGGAGATGGAGTGATCCAGGGAGCCCGTGTGCCTCCCCGGACTATGACGGGGCCCAGGAGCAGTGGAGGGCCCTGAGTCCTCGCTGGCAGCCCTGGCTCGCACCCCCCACCCCATGCTCGTGCCCTCACCGTCCTCCAGGGTGGTGGCATTGATCTCGCTGGATGAGGGCCCTGTGCCAGCCCGATTGAAGGCCTGGACCACCACCCCATATTGGGCGAACTTCTTGAGGTTGTCCAGGGTGTAGACCTCACTGTCCCCGGTGGCTTTCATCTCCACGATGCTATACTGTCCGTTGCTGCCAGGGCTGTTCTCCCTGTAGCCAATCTGGTAGCCCCGTATGACGCCATTCTGCAGCTCCTTCTTGGGCGCCTGCGAGTGGGGTGGGGGAGGGGAGACAAAGACACAGTGGGGCTCTGAGATGATGCTCTGAAAGCCAAAGTCAGATCATGTCCCTCTTCTGTTCCCAATACTCCAAAGGCTCCCATCTCTCTTGGGGTGAAAACCAAAGCTCTTACAAACACAGCATAACCCTATACGATCTGACCCCTGTTAGCTCTTGGGTCCATCTCCTCTTCCCCATGCTTCCCCTGCTCCAGCATACTGGCCTCTCGTGGTTCACACTGGGCCCATCTCCATTTCAGGGGGAACGCTCTTTCCTTGGGTAGCCACACAGCTTCCCTCTTCACCTCTGTGGTGTCCTTGCTGAAACGCCCCTGTCTTTTTTTTTTTTTTTTTTTTAAAGATTTTATTTATTTATTTGACAGAGAGAGCGAGAGCAGGAATACAAGCAGGGGGAGTGGGAGAGGGAGAAGCAGGCTTCCCGCCGAGCAGGGAGCCCGATGTGGGACTCGATCCCAGGACCCCGGGATCACGACCTGAGCCGAAGGCACGCCGAAGGCAGACGCTTAACGACTGAGCCACCCAGGCGCCCAAAACGCCCCTGTCTTAATGAGGCCTTCCTCACGCTCTTTATGTAAGATTGCTCCCTGCCCTCTGTTCCATATTCCTTACATTTCTTCCTGGTCCCCATCACCCCTTGGACCCACCTTTTCTTCCCCATGCTTTCTTTTTCGCCATTGTGCTTAGCACCACCGGACACTATTTATTTTACTTATGTGTCCATCTGTTCCCATTAGAATGTAAACACCATGAGGATGAAAAATGTTGTCTGTTTTGTTCGCTCTTTGCTGTACTCTCACTGTCTAGAATGATGGCTGATATGTAGCAAGCCTTCAATCCACAGTTACTGAATGAATGAATGAATGAATGAATGACTAGGGGTATCATTTGACATGGGCTCAGGAGCCTGGGAGAAATGGAACAGTAGACAAAAAGTAACCAGCTGGAGAGGGAGATGAGCAATCAGCTTGAATAAAAAGAGAGCCCCACGATAGCACATCATACCCTCTAGGACAGCTACTGTCAAAAAATGGAAAACGACAAGTGTTGGCGACCATGTGGGCAAACTGGACTCTCGCACTGCTGGTGGGAATGCAAACTGGTGCAGCTGCCATGGACAACAAAGTTAAACACAGAATTACCATATGATCCAGCAGTTCCACTCCTTGGTACATACCCCAAAGAAGTGAAAGTGGAGACTCAGACAGGGACTTGCACACCCAAGTTCACGGCAGCGTTATTATTCATAAGAGCCAAAAGGTGGAAGCAACCCAAGTGTCCACTGATGAATGAATGGATAAAAAAAATGTGGTCTATAAATGCAATGGAATATTATTTAGCCTGACACTTAGCCTATTATTCAGCCAGAATGGAATTCTGACACAGGATACCACGTGGCTGACCTTTGAAAACATCATGCTAAGTGAAATAAGCCAGACACAAAAGGACAAATGATGTATTATCCAGTTTCTATGGGGTCCCTAGAACAGTCACATTCACAGAGTCAGAAAGGAGACTAGAAGTTTCCAGGGGCTGGGGCAGGGAGGGGGGGTACTTATCAGGGCACAGAATTTCTCTTTGGGATCCTGAGAAAGTTCTGGAGGTGGATGGCGGTGATGATTGTACAACTAACGGTGAATGTACTTTATGTCACTGAACTGTGCACTTAGGCATGGATAAAACAGTACATTTTATGTTAATAAAATGGTACATACATTTTACTACAATTAAAAAAAAAAAGAGTCCTTGACTTTGGTGTGTGCCCAGCCCTTTGGAGCATGTAGCTAGAATGCCCCGGACATCATGGCTAGGGGCTGGGGTGTGTGGAGGCCGAGGCCTGAAGCCAGCTCCCAGATGGAGGGACAGAGGTGGACAGGACACGTGGTAAGAAGGGGGCATTTTGGAGCTCTGGCTAGGCTGGTGGGAATGAAGGACTGACCCTAGTCAGCCGGAAGAACAGCCAGAACTCAATGGCATGAGTCTGGGGGCTAGAAAACATACTCTTATCCAAAGCTTCAACCTTGATACACAACCAGACACACACACACACACACACACACACACCCCACACACAATCCTGATACATCTCACATCCGGAATCACGAACACACACATCTGGACCCATCAAAGCAAACATCCTGATCTGCTTACCTACGTACAGTCAGATAGATTTAGACTCACAGATAGAAACTGACTCCTTGAGCAAGCAGACTTGCCCATCTATAAATTGAGAGAGAGCAGCCACCCCAGTGCATATAAAAACAACTTGAATCAGGGTTTTAAAGACAATGAAGTTAATTGAAAAGCCCACCTTTTATTATACTAAAAAATAGTGAGATAAAAACAATTAAGTTAGTAAAACAGCCCCACTGTTTTTTTTTTTAATTCAATGAATGTTGTAAATGAACTGCATTTACGCTCACTGTTAACTCAATAAAATGAAGTTTTTAATTTAACATAATTGTTTTGAACTCACTAAATAGGTGTGTGTGCGTGTGTATTTAACTGACTTGACTTTTTGTTGATGCCTGAATAATGTTTCTCTGCACTTGGGCAGTCCTGTTTGCTAGTTTGTAAGTGAGCAAATCCCTGAATTCTCGTATCTGCCCATGTATACCGCCCCCCACACACACTCACACACACACACACACACACAGACATCTATTATAGGCACAAACATATCTTCAAGAGTGATACCCCGTCTTCACAATGATGGATACTCTCGTGTTACACACACACATCCATATTGCCATGTACTGATACATACAACACACATGTCCATGTGACCAGAGCCGTCTATACCATGATGATGATATACACCTGTGCAGAGCTCCACATAACATACATCAACATATACTGACAGAGGTCTTGGATGGGCATCCAGTACACCCTGCTACATCCATATATATATATTCACATATTAATACAAATCTTGACAGATCTTCCTTCCCTCCCTCCCTCTTCTCTCTTTCTTTCTTCCTGTCTCTCTCTCTCTCTCCTCCCCCCCACTGCTCCCCTCAACCCCAACAGGCACACTCAGGATTTAAATCAATCTTAACAATATTTCTCTGAAGCATTAAGAAATCAATAGGGCTGATTCCCAATTTATGTCATAAAGCAGTGGCGATCCATCTCACGGAAAGAGTCTTAAAATGAAGTGACTTATCTTTCAAGTGAATCTTTATTTTTCATTAATCTGTTTCTTGGTGTTAAAAAAAATCCCCTGAGAAGTCAGGCCAAAATTTATTGATGGGCTGGTTCATTCTGAAGTTCTAACTTTCTAATCAATTTTATTTTTCATTACGAGACTTCGGAGAAATAAATCTGATTCTAAATTTTTATCGACCTCCTGGTCTGAGCTTTGTAGCCAAATGGCTCAGTGTTTTACATATGTATTCATTCCCTGCCCCCACCTCCTGGCTTCCTAGAGTATTCCTAGGACATGGGTCCAGAACCAGGATGCAGACAGACTTGGGATTATAGACTCTAGGCTTCACCCCCCGTTTCTGAGGGAAGCCCTGGAGCCCAGATCCGAATCTGAAGGGGAACCATGGCTCTGGGCATCTGCTAGGTGGGCTGTTGCCCAGGAATGACCGATGGCCCAACCTGTGCCCCATTTCCATCCTGGTCATTTCTCTAGGGAAGGAAGGAACCAGGCTCTGCTGTGTGTGTGTGTGTGTGCGCGCACACACACACACACACACAAGAGTGTAGTCTTCTTAAGGATAATATCACTAAGCCCTTCTGTTGAAAGGCACAGAGGAGGACTGAAGTGCCTGAGCTTTTCCCATCAGAAGTTAGAGCCAGAAAATGACCTTGGAGATCTGATCCCAGCTGCGGACGAGGAATCCCCCCAAGCCTCACTGTTGAGATGGGAATGGTCCGAGAAGAACATGTACGGGCCCTAAGAAAGCTCTCTGTTCCTGAGCTCCATGCAGTGGGCTGGGGCTCTGGACCACGTAGCAGGGGGAGCTGCAGGCAGAGCCGGCAGAGGGAGAAGCGGGCTCCCCGCAGAGCAGGGAGCCCCATGCGGGGCTCGATCCCAGGCCCCTGGGATCATGACCTGAGCCGAAGGCAGACGCTGAACGACTGAGCCACCCAGGAGCCCCTGGACCACATACATTTAAGTTCTGCCTCTCTCACTACTTGAATGGCTGTGGGCAAGTCACCTTGCATCTCTCTGCCACGCCCTCCTCTGATGGATGGGGATACAAACACCTCTTCTAGGCCCCGTCCAGGAACAGAGGGTCAGACAAGTGAGTGTAGGAAAATACTGGAAGCCTGGAAGCTGAGTGCAACAGGCAGCCGTCAGTACTGGCGGCCCTCATGTGCCCAGGGCGGGGATGTGGCAGTGAGGCTAGAGTTTCCCAGGACAGAATTTACTGATCCTGCTCAACGTTATTCTGATCTGTTTCTCTGCCCAGCTGTGGGAACTCTTCTAAGGGTTTTCTTAAGTGACAGGGTCTTCTGATACCCTGTAGAATTCATAGGTCTCTACCCCTTCGAAATGGTTGCAGAACAGACTGGTCTGTTTTTTCCGCAGTTCATCCACCCCCAGAGGAAGGGAGGGCAGTTATTTTCACTCTGGTTTTATAGAGGAGGAAACTGAGGCCTGAAAACACCAAGACTCCTGTGTACGGCCTCACTGGGAAAAAATGGAGGGTCATATCACCATACCTCCTGGCTCCAGTCACAGGGCCAAGAGCTCATCTCCCGTTGTCCACAGGGCCCCCTTGAACTTTGTACAAAATCAAATCCAACTCCTGACCTATTACAACATGTGGGGTTGGGAAGAGAGGCCAGTGGGGTTGGGAAGAGGGGCCAGTGTGGTGGAAAAAATCGTCTTCCCCTCCGTGGCACTGCCAAGTTCTGAGAGCCGAGGTAAAGAGAGTGGTGGGGGGGCCCAACCCTTCTTCCTCCTGTCTTTCCTCTCCTCTGACCTCATCTGTTTAGCAAAAAACAGGCATGAGAATTCTCAGAGACTAGAGACTAGCAAGCTTGCTGGGGCTTTACTCCTGAGTTGAGGAGGGAGGAGGCATGGAGGCAGTTAGCAGGGAAATGCTTTTGCTCTCGCTTACCTTCCAGGTCACTTGGATACTCTGTGAGGTTACTGGCTGCAAGGTGACATCCATGGGGGGCCCATCGGGAGCTGGTGGATGGAGAAACAACATTACAAGTCAAGTCTTGGAAGAAAAGAGTCCTAGGTCCTCACTCTCATCCTCCTGAGCTGGAGAATTGCTAGGGAACAGAGGAAAAGCTCATACACAAAAGCAGAGAACCTTCAATTGAGCCCCCTGACACAACCGCAGGGCTTACAGTTCCTCTCCTTTCTCCACGATTTGCTTAAAACAGCAAACAATGACAATGAAATATTACTATATATCTGGCAGACCGGCAACAATTTTTAAAAAGTTTGATAGTCTCAAGTGTAGGCAAGGGTGTGTTGGGGCAGGAATTCTTATATATACCCGCCATGGGAAAGCAAACTGGCTCCATACTTTGGAAGACATTTTGGCATTCTTGGTTAAAGGTAGAAGTATGCTCATCTGATGACTTTGTAATTCTGCAACTACTTAGATTCCATAGAGAACTCGCAAACCTCTGTAAGGGTACCGGTACAAAAATGTTCACAGCTCCAAACTGTCAATGACCCAAATGTCCATCTCTATGAAAATAGACCAAGAGGCTGAGGTATAACCATGGCAAGGAATACTACCCAGCACTGAAAATGCACAAATGATGAAACTCACAAAAACAGTATCGATCAAAACAAGGAAGACAACAGAAAAATATGTCAAGAATAATTTCATGAATACATGCCACTGGGAAATAAGCAAAACTAAACTATATGCTTTATGTGTATATACATTGTAGTGACAGTGTAGGAAAGAAAAGCAAGAAGGGCTACTGGTTACTTTATGGGGAGGAACGGGAGGCTCTGGTTGGGAAGGGGAATGGGGAGGACCCCTGGCATGCTGGCAATTGATAGTGTGGGTTATACTAGTTTTTACTTTATTTTTATTTGTAAAGTTGCACACATATATTATATGTACTTTTGGTATTATTTTATATTTTACAATAACAGGAGAAACTATAAGGAGAGAAAGCTTGTTTAAACTTTCAGACAAGGGCGCCTGGGTGGCTCAGATGGTTAAGCGTCTGCCTTCGGCTCAGGTCATGATCCTGGGGTCCTGGGATCGAGTCCCGCATCGGGCTCTCTGCTCCTTGGGAGCCTGCTTCTCCCTCTGCCTATCTCTCTCTCTCTCTCTCTCTGTCTCTCATGAATAAATAAATAAAATCTTAAAAAAAAAAACTTTCGGACAAAATCCAAGACAAAGGTCACGGAAATTAATACAGGGCACTGGTACTCTGCCCTTTGCAGATCTAGCATATCTGTCCTTTCTAGACAGGCTGGAGCCAGGGGAGTGAGAAAGAACCATGGACAGCTCCCCAAAGCCCAGCATCTACAACTCCGCCTGGAAAAGGTCAAACAGAAGAGCCTCCAATGATCCAGAGGCAAACACAAATAAATACTTGGGATCTCTCCTTCCCTCTTGTATTGCAAGCCCACCATCAGTGGACAGGGTGGGTGTGGGCCTCAGATGGGCCTGATCCCCAGGGCCATGGGAAAGAACCACAAGGCCAGGTACTCACCAGCCTCCTCGGTGCTGATGGTGAGCTCTTTGCTCGGCTCGCTGCGGCCAATCTTGTTGAAGGAGTACATGCGGATACTGTACACAGATGCTGGGTGCAAGTCCACGATGTTGGCCTGGTTGATGGTGGGGGAGATATTGCGTGTGGACTGCTTGAAGTCCCAGGAATCTGGAGAGAGAGCACCCATTTCAAACCATGGCCAGGAAAACCCCGCAAACCTTCCCCAGCCTCAAGTCTCAATCTCCACTGTGGGACCCAGAAGAGGTCCAGCTCTACACAGACAGCAGCAAGAAGGCACAGGCCTTAACAACTTCACAAAGAGTACAAGGATTTTGTTCCATGAAGCTCAAAGAGACCAAGGGATGCCTGAGAATGTGAGCAGCAAATGCCCTGCCTCTCCTCTGCCCTGGGCCAGCTTGTGAGTTCAAGCCCCAGACGGGGGTCAGACGATATGTTTCCCAAGGCCCCTTCCAAGATCCCCATTTGCTTGCTAGCCCTAAGGGTGTGATTAGCCAGTGCCCTTCTTCCTGGCCTCCCACACCACATCAGTGACCTGTTGTAGCCATGAGATCCCTATCCACTCAGTGCCAAGGGTGAAGCCAAGTCTTCTCCCCCTTTTTCCTTCTGTACATGCTTCCATAGCTCTTTTCCTTGTTCGCTTGTGTGGTGGTGGTCTTGAGTGTTACTTGGTCTTCGAGGGGACAGACCGAGTGCCAGAGTCCCCAGCGCAAACCCTACCCTCTTTCTCTCACCGGCAGGAGAATGCTGAGTCTTTAGGGTCAGGAGCCAACAGAGAGATGAGCATGCTCCTGATTCACCCAAGGGGACTGGCAGCCCATTCCAGGGCTGTTTAACAAAATTGTAGAAAGTGAAAAATACCAGATAAATGCCACTCAGGAATACTGTGACATTAAACATTCTTCCTCTCCAGAGGAATCCAGTCATTCATTCGCTATATTTTTTGCTGTGCACCTACTGGGGGATTCCCAAGAAAAATGGGAAGGGCTTGCAGTTACAGCAATGTCTCAGCTAGGATCTTCCAAACCCAGAATTCATAACTAGATTACTTTATTGGCACTTCACTTTGAAAAGAAAAAAAGGCAAAGCACGAGAAAAAAAAGCTGATAGTAGGGCTTAAAAATCTTCTCGGGGCATGTCCTGATGTCACTATTCAGTCTAATTTTCCATGCCTTTTAAATCCACAGTAGAGGATCCTGAAAATTCTCAGCAGAAAAGATTAAATTGCATTCACTGCTGTTTAATCCCTAAAACAGGAGAGGAGGCAAGCATATTCTAGAAAGACTGTTAGGAAGACTTCTTTGCCTTTTTTTAAAAAGGCTTAAACCTGATAAATCAGTTCACCAGAAAAGACTATACCATGCCTTCAGATTCTGGTTAATTGAGGTCTTGATGGTTTTCAAAACACCACTTTTAGCTGCATAGGCTCGGCATCTGTGAAGGGCACTGGCCCAGCTCCCCATCTGCAGTTTTGCATTTAATTCTTTGGTTTTATGAGCCAAAGTCACAAATGCCAGGCTGCGGATGCTCAGAAACACATTATTTTCTCCTTGTCTTTTAAAACATCCCAGCCACTCAGAGAGTCACTCTGTGGCTGGGAGAGTTGCAAATATGTGCTCCTACCTGCTGTGGGTACCTCTTCGGTTTGGGAGGGAATGGACTAGCAACATGGTGGCGGGCGTTCATTTCTCTCTGTGGCCTCCTGGGAGCGGGTGCAAGCTCACAAACACATCATACTTGATTTGCCCATGTTTATAGGAGAGGGACAGTAATCACGAGTCAGTGAGTTCATTTTTGATGAGGGCAGGCAGAGGGAGGAGGCCCACATGATGTGCCTGAACACAGAGGGGCTAAGGAAAAGATGCACCAATATATATACATTTCATTAAAAGAGACCTGCTCTCCATATTGGTAAGGAAGTCTTACGAGTATTTAAATGCATGATCAGAGTTACAGACCATGGGAGGTGTTGTGGGTTGAAATTTACATAAAACTGACATTTTCTTCACAGTAGGTTCAGATTATTATTTCCTCATTTCTTTTTACCAGCATCACAGCAGTGATAACGTATCCCTCTGTGTGCTTGAGTCACCTGGTACCGATTTGTCCCATTACAGTGGATGTTGGGCGCCTGGGTGGCTCAGTTGGTTGAGCGACTGCCTTCGGCTCAGGTCATGATCCTGGAGTCCCTGGATCGAGTCCCACATCGGGCTCCCTGCTCGGCG